ATATATATATATATATATATATATATATATATATATATATATATATGTGTGCGCGCGCGTGTGTGTATGTGTTTTTTTTATGTGTTAAATTATATGTGAAAATATAAGATATGTATGTTTATATAAAAAATATTTCTGTTTAATTCAAGTTGACGTCTTAAAATTGGAAATCGCATGAATTTATATCACTTTCGTAATATTTATGTTTAATTCTCATACCGAGAACACCAATTTACTACATTAGAGATATTGTTTCAAATAATTAATATTTATTTATCTTTTGAAATCAACATTTTTGCAAAAGAATAATTCAAATCTTTTTGAAAAACTTCCCATCACTTAAAATAAAGGCACTCTTTATCTTATGCATACATATTCAATGAGATAATGCAATAAAATAACAAAGAAATCTTATCTATAATATAAATAGAAAAATAAATATTGTAAAATGCTATCTCGTTATAATAAAATGAAAAAAATTAATTGACAACTTTTGTTAACTAATTATTATTATAAACATTTTTTTCTTCAATTTTATATAAAATATGAATTTGTAGGATGAATAAAAATTTCAATTAAATCACTATTATTGTTTCTTCAATTCATAGAATCTAATATCATATTTTCTGTTCTAAAACTTGTCATTGGTATATTAATAATTTTTCTAATCAAATTTCTCTAATAGCATTCAATTTATAGATTAATGTTTCGTTAAATTTATAAAATTGTTTTTTATAATTTTAAATAAAGATTATTCAAAAATACAATATTTTATCCAATACAAGATGACTATTACCAAGGGTATGTAAAGAATGACAGGAATAATGGCATAGAATTATTATTTTATTTTGTTTCGAGGGTCGATAGCTACATATTTAGATTGCACTACACATGCATTATATCCACACAATAACACACACGCACGCACGCACACACACACACGCACGAACGCACGCACACACGCACACACGCACACGCACACATATACATAGCGTAGTAATTATATATAAAAGTCTATAATAGTAATGGATTTGAGAAAATCTAATTAATCTTGATTTATAGGAATTTGATTTAAATATTACAAAATATTAATTAATTTTATTGTTATAATATAAATTTCCTAATAGTAAATTTATAATGACTCAACTCGGACTATTGATTCTATTTCCTAATAAGAACATTTCTCTTATATTATTAATATTATTGTAATAATAGTCCTAATTAATAGAATATAAAATATAAATTATTGAAATAGAAAAAATATGCTTAGTCTTATTAAATACAGTAATTTATATACCAAAGAGTATGAAAAATAATTTACGTTCATTAGAGCAAAAAGTTGCCATTAACACTTTAATAAAATACTTGTATATACAATGCTTCTGTCATTAAACGTATTTTTCTTTCTTTTTATAAAAAACTATATGTAAAGTTAAGCTATAAAATATCGATTCATTTGTAATGATAATGATAATGATAATAATAAAAACGGCAATTAATGTACATTAAAGGTTATGAGAATTCAATATTTGTTGACTCTTGTATAGATATAATTATTATTTATTTCATTACAAAATATCATATATATGAGATAATAAAACAATTGAATTATTTAATAGAATTGAATGCCCTGTTGTATTAATTATTACTTTGTATGCGGATAAACCGCATCTATATAAGATAATCTAAACAGATATGGCAAGCTTATGTTATTTCTAAGTTTTTTTTCTACTTCGTTTTTTTTCTTTTTTTCGGATTGATAAAAATTGCAATAACGAAATTAGCGTCCATTTTATCTAAAATTTTCATCCTAAATAACGTGCTAAAATGAACATTTATTTTTTGTAATTAAATGAAATAAAACTGTTTCACTGTAATGTATATTCTTGCTATGTCTGCGTCTCCTGGAAAAATGCTGTATAAGAAAACAGGACCGTTAACAGCATAAATATCATTCCAGTTTGCTAAAGTATTGTGCCAATGCGCATAGAATTTTATAGAGTAGTTATTATTATCGGTTAGTAAATGAAAGAGTAATTTTCATTTGTTTTTATAAGAGTTTTAATCAAGTATAATATATAAGTATATTGGATACTGTAAGTGAAAATATGTTTAGTGAATAAAAAATAAGCACTTCTCGGATCTTTAACAAATAATTTATATTTCTCGATATATTGTTATTTATAATTTTACAATTAACTTGACTTTAATGAGCCTATGTTTATATAATTTAGATAAAATATAATTACAATTTTTAATCTTAGGCGTAAAAACTGAAAACCCTTCATATCATAAATATGCCTTAATATTGAATTTAATGTTTAAATTTTAATTTGTGCGTATTTAATTCAATTTGAATGTGAATATATTTATGTTATATGAATAGTTATATATAATGATGACGATGGCTATTATTATTATTATTATTATGCGAGGGATCGATTTTTGTCTCTAGCTCGTCCGTTGCAAGCCTATATACGACAGTTGGCTTCCATCATTTTTTGCGAGTACAAATCATTAGACGCGTAATATGCCTTTGACTTTTATTATGATAAACGATAATTTTATATATTCCAGTACTCTTATGGAAGTTGTTAAAATTCTTAATTGAACAGACTTTTTAAGTTTATTTGGTAGATTTTAACAATTTGTCAAATTTCAATAAATATATAAGATAAATCATTAATAGTCGTTGATAATCAAAGAATTCCTTAATTTCATTTATAATTCGAATAAAGGATCGACATTCAGCGTTAAATAGATCACTAGATAATGGAGAAATAATTTTTACATCCAGATTAAATAGTTTGTAGCAATAGCAAATTAAATTAGTATATTTTATTTCTAAAAATAGTCTATCCGTCTGCTACATTGTTATTAATATTGATTTCTTCAATATTAAAATTAGTTGTTGTTTTTTGTTTTGTTTTGTTTTGTTTTTGTTTTTTTTTTTTGTTAACACAAGTCACGAAGATAATATAATATAACAGTGTTTAATTTTTATGCTGATTTATATGTATGATTGAATGATTATTCATGAGGTATTAATGAACTGGTTTTATTATTATTTTTTTTTTTTTTTTTTCGTAATTAAATAACTTAATTATAATAATTTTATTCAGCTTTTATTTAAGTTGTACATATGCATTGATATATCAAAATAAGCAATGATAAGAGATTTTTAAGCCTTACTTAGTGCTACTTTTTCGATATTTACTTTTAGCTTGCTGTTTAAGTAAATTTGCTTAATATTTTTAAAGGGTCTGAACTTATCTATTTCAATGACATGTGTGAATTTATTGATATAATATAAATAAGAATTTGCACGTCTTTTAATGAAGTTTAATGGGATATTATATTCGTTATTTGATAATTAAAAATATAATCGACGAATGATCGCGTTTAATTGAAAGAAATATGCCTGCATTATTGTATAAAATAATTAATTTATTTTTCAATATAAAGAATAATTTATACAATTTAATAATAATATTAAATGTCACACTTGACTAAATACTCCAAATTTAAAAAACAAAATGTCATTTTTTTTTTTTTTTTATTATTTATTATATTAGAAATACTTTGAAAACACTTTAATACTACATTTAAAATTCTGTAACTATTGCGAAAAATAATATAACGTACGATTAATTTATTATTCATACACTTATTTTATAGTTTTGCTTAATGAGAACGGATTAGATTAAATTATATAAGCAATTTAATTTAATTCGATGAATGTGTAAGCGTTACTAGCATTGTTAGTATTTTAGAATCTTTGCCACAATTTCACGATAATTAATTATCTATAGGCTGTAATTAATATTGTAAATATCCAACAGAATTATATAGAATCGATCAAAATGTATTATTGGAATTAAGATTAAAGTTTGTATGTAATACAAGATAGATGAAAAATAGAAACAGAAACTTATTTCAAAAGCATTTTCTACGTCTTCGAATTGAATTAATAGAGACTTAAATGAAATCGAACAATTCCAAGTCCCAGATGAAGAAAATCAAACGCCTGAATCACTATGAAAACTTCGCCATTAAATCGCGAGTCTCATTGATATTATTATAAACTTTAGCTCACAAATAGAGTTACTTCATTCGCACTAATGCCACCATTGCATAGATGCAGCACTGTCAAAAAGAAAAAATTGATAAACATCGCTGTAAGGAAACAGGTGCTACCTCATACCCGAACATTCGTTCGTGCGCAATAAAAATCTCAGCTCATAAGGAATTTCGCCAGTCGGCTAAGCCTAAAGACAACCGTAAAGTTTGCGTGGTACAGCTGAAAATTATCACTCACCAGGTCCTGTATCCGGGTGTTCCGGGCACGGCCCCGTTAGCCGCGGCAGCTGCCTCCCTCTGCTTCTTATTCACCAGGAAACTCTGCAACCAAAGGCAAAGATTGGAGCTGTTAAAGCCGTTGGCGTCGTTAAGCTCAGCCTCGGTCCGCTAATTGCAGCTTCACGGCTTTGAACCGAATTGCAAAGTCTGCTAAAAATTTTTGGGGCATCCGGCGAAAGTGCGACTTCACATTGTCGTCGCTTCGTCCAACCGGCAGTTATTTCTTTGTAAAGAGTGACGATGATAGACGAATTGCCATCCCGCTTGAGATATTAACGATTGGGAGGAGTGAAAATCGATAATGCAGTCGTGTGTTTTGCCGGACAATGGATAAGTTGCTTGTTGCATTGCATTTTGCGAATTGAATTGTACGTGTTTGAGGCTTAATTTATCGAAAGACATTGCATAAAAGTTAAAATGGTTAAATTTTTAATACCGTTGTAAAGATATGCAGTTTAATAGATATGCATTACACCAAAGTCAAAGAAGCTGTCTATTTTATTATTAATATTTTACATCAATTTTATTGAACATTATTTAATAAATAGTGTAAGCATAGATTACGTAGACTAAGTGTATCGATATAGATTGATGAACTTGTGTATAATTAGTAGTGCCCGGATGAAATGTAATATGGGCTTGGGAGCATATACAATAGATATATTTTCACTTTGTCTGTATAGAAATAATGGCCAAACATTGGCATAAAAATATAAATCCAAGCTACTGTCGTATGAAATTTTAACGTTAATGAGCGAAATCTTACTCCCCCGGACTCGGCCAATACGGAAAATAGTAATAGTAATTTTTTAAAAATATGCTTCAAGCACGAGGAACATGAAATATAAAAAGAAATACAAAACAATTAATTTATATTTTAATAAATGAAATTCGCATATTAAAAATAATGGTTCTCCATCTTTGGAGTTGTATGACCGTCGTGCCATATATATATATATATATATATATATATATATATATACATATAAATACACATATAAATACACATATAAATACACATACGCACGCGGAAACGTATGCACTCACTTGAAGACGTTGTTTGACCTCCGTAGAGGCAACTGCGCTGTGATCGTGTTTGTCCTTCTTCCTTAATGCCTCCAATCTTTCCTTTTCTCTTCGTTGGTCTTCCAGTTGTTTTTGCTGCTCCCATAACTGTACGAAAATTAATTTTAATACAGGAATTTAGAGAGACGATCAATCGGCTAATACTTTTCGATTAAACGCGATGTTATTATTACTATTATTATTATATTCGCTGGCTTATCTGCACATTGAGATGCTCGCTAATTGAAGCGAATGCAATCCTCGTGGCCGATATTTATCGATCGTTTGAAACTTCTCGAAATGTATACGAAATTATATGCTTTACGAACTGCGATACCCCATAAATTACATGTACTTTTACGTTTCCCTCCCCTCCCTCTAACCCCGCCCCATTTTTACTAGATGTTTTAAAACATCTTACAACCCGAAACGTAAAAGCTATGTCTGCCAATTGAAATCTCAGCTCTTATACAATATTTACATAATTCGATTGCTTTAAAGTTTCATTTCACGCGTCCTTAGAGATTTGAAATCACAGCTGTCATTTTCTTCCGTTCATTCAAATATACAAGCAATAGAGATGTTAATGCCAAAAAATTCCTCGATACATTGCTAATGACGTTTAATTAGTTAAATTCTTAAACGATGTAAATTTTGATAAGAGTTTTCTTACACAATTTTCTATTAAATTTAAATACTCGCTCCGTGCATGCAATCGCAGCTATAAAAGAAAATTATAATTGATGGTAAAACTGGTTAAATGCACAACAATGTTAATCGTGAATTTTCATTATGTAACAAAAAATACATTGGCTATATTTTATTAATCGTGAAAAAAAAATCGATGATAGAAATTTTAAAAGTAGCCGTTTTTCCTATTGAGACTACGCTTTTCCTTGGTTTAACTATAGATTGTGCATGCTATGCTTTTCATGTGAAACTGTGGAAAATTAAATAAATAATCACAATATATAATTATAAAGCATGAGACTTATAGTTGAGATAGTTGCATAAGAAATTATAGTTTGTTATTATCGAATGTTATTTGTAGATGTACAATCACTAGTCATTGAATCGACTGACCTATACGTACGTATTCTCAAAGGCATCTATACACACCAACGTAAATAGGCATTTTCCACGAGTCGATATATATCAATATTTAAATAAATTAAATGCATTGCACAAGAGCCCTCCTTGGTTCCACGTCTCAAATTCAACACGTTACTATTTCGTAAAATGCAATATTTATATAATTTTTATTTTCTTTAATAATATTAGAGATTAAGAATAAAATTGTAGAATGAAGAAATGATTTTTCACATAATTTCCATGCAAATAAATCAATCCTAATGAATTTTTACGACATATTTAAAAGATTAAGAATTCCGATAAATTTGTTGAAAAAGCGAATACAAATCGTAATAGGATAATAATTTACAGACTTTGCAAACCATAGACTTTTTTTATCTATTAATAGAAAAATTTATAAATTAGATATTAATCATATAATAATAAATAAAAAGCTTATGATTTAATTAATATTATTTTAACTTTTACTTATTTATCATTCACGATTGTACAAAATTTCGAAATGCCAAAATTTTTTAAATTCATATTAATTTTCTATTCACTTTTTCCTCGTTATACCCATATTCCTATACATTTTCTAAACTAATATAACGAATAAATTAATCGATATTCTTTATCCGTAACTCGGTACATGCATACGGATTAAATGTTTATACGAGAACTACAAAGAGCGAGTATATAGCGATACATTTCATTGTAAATGCATAAAAGTACAAAAAAAAAAAAAAAAAAAAAAAAAAAAAAAAAAAAAAACCAAAAAAGTTGCATTGACGTACAATTTCTGTGAAATTTTCTAATCGAAATTTATTTACGTGCATTAATACGGCCAGAAAATGAAAATAGTGGATCATAAAAAACCAAAAAAAAAAAAAACCAAAAAAAAAACCAAAAAAAAAAAAAACCAAAAAAAAACCAAAAAAAAAACAAAAAAAAAAATGGATAAAAGGGAGAAAATAGGAATGACAACAAACAAAATTTGCTTCTTCCGTGTTTTTGTTTCTACTTTTTCTCTTTGCCTATCTCACTTTTATATCACTATTGTCACGTCTTTGAATCTTCGGTAAATAAACGTATCTATGTTGTATTCCCGTATTTGTACAGTTTTTATGTATTCTATAAAAAGCAATTAGTTAAACAAAACTATTCACCACGTTGTTTAGATTTTTTATTCTAATATTTAAGTAAATGGCATCAACCCAACGGTTTTAACCCATATCAATTCTGCTATTAATACGGAACGTTTAATTAATAAAGTAATTAGAGTTTTCTATATTCTGCTCATGTTTTGTGGATTAAAATTATTCCACGAATTTGATCGAAATAATATCTAAAATAATCATAATAGTACGTATATAGATCGGGCTATCGGTGAGGATAGGACTCGTAGCAAACTAATTTTAATTTCAACTTTATAATAAGAGTATTAATTTTAATGTATATGTCGCTACTTTTAAGAAAAAATTGTATTTCAACTTGATATACGAAATAATTCTACATCAGTTTATAATCGCTTTAAAGATAATGGTTACCGACAAATTATTTTGTTTAATTTTAAGAAAATTTATATCACATAATATCGCATAATTGCATTATTAATTTAGTATATTAGTTTAAATATCTAATAAAATAAATAATACGTAATGACCGCGTTCATTCATTCAATTCAATCGATAATACTTTTAACCATATTATTTCGCGGTACGCGTAGAATTCAGAAAAGATAATTCCAATTTAATTGAATAGGAAATTTTATGGGTAATAATTTAATGGTAATGTAACATAAGGAAAAAATTATAAACGACCGTTTTGCAAAATAAATATATGCTTCAATGTAATAAATTTAGCACACGATAAATAGCATTGTAATAGCATTATACAGTTTTTTCGTTAAGAATAAAAAGTAAATAAATAAATAAATAAATAAATAAATAAATAATGATATTTTACTCTCCAATATGTATTTTGAGCGTAATTCTCGTTTGCTCACTTGCTAAAAAGTATATTATTAAAGTTCACGTAACTGAAATATTTCAATGAATCTATCATACACGATAAATGAATAGATTAAGTTTAAGAAATTATCTTATACTTACGCTAAAATTCTTGTGTTATAATGAATTTTAATTATCGATGCATAATAACGTTAACTTTAAAAGCACTGTAATTGAAAAATTGATTGGAAAATGCCAATGCGCAAGTAAAGCCTGAGACAATGAATATTGTCAATGAAATGCTCTTGCCAGTTACATTATCAAACCTCTGTCTTATGCTTTTCTTATCGATTTAATTATAGCGCTGCCTTGCAACATGAAGGCAAAATACTTTTGTAAAATGCTTTAATTGAAACGTCGTTTCTTATTGAAAAAGCATAAGAAAATTGTTAAATTCAAGTGCTGTAACGGGCATGTCATTTTACATCAATGATTATCAGATATCTTTTTTCATTAAGGGCGTGAATTTGGGAAAAGTTCTAAAGAATACTTGGCCTCTTCTCCTATACTATTACTTTAATAAATATAAAAAAAAAAAAAAAAAAAAAAAAAAAAAAAAAAAATACACATTACAATTTCATACGAATGTTAAGAAATTTGACTATTTCTCATACAGTTAATGTAAATATTATCGCAGTTGAATTTAATCGGTAGTGTATTAAAAGCAATGTGATTAATAACTTTGTTTTCAAAAAGCATATATTTGCTAAATTGAAAATAGCGAGCTTCATTAAAAGACATCTTAATATTTTTCTCGTTATTCCTAGGTATTAGTGCTAGATAAAATACTTGCATTATAATAAATTTTTAATAAATAATAATAAATAATAATAGAAAAAAAATAATAATTAATTATTAATAATTGAATGAATGAATATTGATGATGATGAAGAAAGTATAGGAAAAACAATTAAAATGTCCATGAAAATTTCATCTACTATTAATTATTTATTCATTAATGTTATTTGACTTCCTCTTTATCCAAAAGCACGTTTCACCTTTCTAACTAATAATTTACAAAGTCAATTTTTAACAATATTTAGGACAAAAAGATAATTATCAATCTTCGACGCTTTCGTACTTTAACGCGAAATTACTCGAAATATGCATTGTGAGTGGGTGATTAAACAAACAGCTGAAGACAAAAAAAAAAAAAAAAAAAAAATCCTTACTTTAATAATAGCTTTACAAGTTGATAATAATTTTTAATGACAACTTATTGCTGCTTAACTTCATAATGAAAAATTCGCGTTAATTTTTTTTTTTTTTTTTTTTTTTTTTTTTTTTTTTTAACAATTAGCGATAAAAGAAAATTAAATGAATGATCGAACGAGACTGGTGGCCATACGGAATATTGTATTTATTGAGAGTAAAAATAGATAAAATATGATAAATTATTATTTATCTTGTTACATATCTTTTTTTCTGATTCCTTTTACGGAAGATTTAAATTCAAATTCATTTCTATCTATAAGTATGTCATACAGAAATATTGTAAATATGATCCTCAAAATAGGCCAATCTAAATTGCCTTCTGATAAGAAAATTTATTTAATATCAAATTGAAAAGCTGAATTTTAATACGACTGTTAACTTATCAAATAACATTGACTTATCTTATTATAATACTAATTTTATATTCGAAAATTTTATAAAATTGAATTTTTAATCTAACACATTATAAAGCCCACAATGGGAATGACATGTGTAAAATTACGAAAAAATTTTTTTTATTCTAATATTTACTCAACGGCTTATATTATATATACACAATTGTAATCGTGATAGAGGGTTTTAATTACTTTAATTTTTTTCAGTTAAGTTTAACAGTTATTAATTTTATCTTATATTTATTTATTCGGTGTTTAAAAATCATATTCGGCGATATGGAATCTACGATTACGTCACGCACGAGACTCATCAATATTTGAACTAAATAGTCAAAAATATATAATATAATTTGATGTTGTTTCTTCATACAAAAAATCTTAACTGTAATACTTTTATATATATATATATATATATATATATATATATATACAAAAAAAAAATCAATTCTCTATTTTATTTATTTTATTTTTTTTTTATTTTTTTTAATGTTGTTTTTAATCTAGAATAACAGAGTATTTATCAGCAAAGTATCCATGGCACATTATATCTAACACTATTTATACACATTTTATTGTTTACTCTACCAAAACTTCAACGCTCTTTATAAACAATTATTTACCATTGACTATTTTAACTATGACAGCTTTGATTTCATCCCCTTAACTTAACGTCACATTATTGCTTTTCTACGCGCTTGTCCTTTTTTCTTTCTTTCGTTTGTTACTTGAAAAAACATGCAAGATCGATCTTAAAAAATTAACCTATTTTCTCTATTTATAGCCTATGTAGTCGATTTTGCTTTGTCTTGTTTTGTTTCTATAATGTAAATAATTATTTTACAATTCAATACTATACGTACTTTTAATTGATGCATTTGCTGCTCGTGTAATTCTGCCAGTTGTCGCTCCTGGGCCTGATATTGCTGTCTCAGGATCTGCTGTTGAAGTTGATGCTGCTGCTGTAGCTGGAAACAAAGCCAGACACCTTAAGGGTGATGCTCTTCTCACGTGGTTAAATATTTATCGCATTAAAGCTCCCACTACTTGACTACAATATTTACGACAATTGCCCGCGTTATTACTTTTATTGTGTAATAATTACCTTATTATATTGAGAATTACAATTTTCATAATTTTTTACCCAACACTTTGTCGCTTTAGAAAGCCGAGCAAACATCATAAAATTTATTCACCGTTGTATGCTGTTTCATATACCTTCTTTTATCTCGAATATATTTTAGGCCTGCAGCATAACTCGTAAATGAAATTTTTTTTCTTTTTTTTTTTTCTTTACTCTTAATTATAAAACTTTGCTTAGACAAGTTGTTCGTAAAACATTGTTCATTAATGAATTTCCTACGTTAAAATTACTTAATTGTTTTATTAATTTTGTTTCAATTTCGGTTTTCTGTAAATGGCAATGCACATTTCGCTAATTATATCGACGTAAAACACAGCCTGTTTATTTTTCAAGTTAACGAAGTAATTTATGTAATTAAATACTTTTGTGAACTTGCTTTTTCTATTCATTAAAACATGCAATGTAAAATTGTAACGAGGATTTTTATATAATTTCAAAATGCTCCTCTATCATTGTATTTCTACGGCTGATCTTCTATTATTCTTGCTTCATGTACAAATAATTTATCGAGATAAAATATTTCGATTATAGTTTCAATTATAAATTGGATTCTTTAATCTTTCAAAGCAATTCACCTAGGCGTGTCTGCATGCGTATGTCAAGAAACATTATTTGTTGAACATGTACCGACAACAAACTCATTGCAGAAAAATATAGAATAAAAGCAAAGTTTATAATTTACCAAGTAAAGAAAATACTTTTTATCTCAATTACAGAGTGCAAAGTCAATTTTTTGGAATAAAAATTTTATTACAAAATGCGGGCACGTATGGTCAAGATTTATTCATTATGAATGAAATGGACGAGAGGAAGTGCGTAGGCGTTAAAGATAATTATTATAATTGGCAACGTCCGTCAAGACACTCAGAGAATTCCTATGCTTCTGGCCGCTATCTCATTCATTTAATCTGCCTTACTTTCTTATCTAATTTTCTCGTGGAGCGTTTTTATTCGCGGTAATAAAGATGAGAGTCATTCACGTGAGTAATTCTGCTGTCGACCTTTTGCTGTCGAACAACAATTCAACGATTTTACTGTCTCTCACCTTTTATTCCACGTCCTTTTCAATTCTTCTCTCGAAAGAAATTTTTCCTTATCCGCCCAAATCTATTTCTATCGTTATCAATTTCTATCTTCTGCATTTCCAAATTCTATCATCCAAATTATACCCCTTTTGTAAGACAAAAAAAATAGAAAAAAAAAAAGAAAAAAAAAAGAAAATAAAAAAAAAAAGAAAAAAAAAGAAAAGAAAAAAAAAACAAAAAGAAAAAACAAAGAATTGTGTAACCCAAATTGTTTTAAAAGAAGACTGGATTAGTCGTTGTAATTGCGCGCACCGAAATACCATGAAAATCGTATTATTATTCTCTAAATTTTAGCAATTCCAAAGTTAATAAAACTTTATTGGATATCTGTCGACTAATATTAGGCATTTTCAGTAATTTATCAATTTCCTTATATTTCCAATTGTTATTGGTTATTCGCTGAAGTTTATTACACATATTATATTCAAAATTGAATATTTGGAAAATAAAATGATAAGTCGATGCAAATAAAGAATATAATAAGATTGCGAATACTAATTACCACAATGATAAACTATCAACCAAACATTCTCGTGTCAATGAAATATCTTATAATAATTAACTTATATATTAAAACAAAAAACCCAAATGTATATATATATATAAATATTTTAAGCTTAGTTCATTAATTGCATAATTTACGTAGAAATTATTAATGAAATCGTTTTTAACGGGAAATTAATTTTATGATGGGAAAGCTAAACACACTATCGATTCTAGTTTTCTTCGATACGTTAAATTTACTTTATATTGTCAACATGGATATACAAAATATTAAATAATTCATATTTTTATTAAGATGCTCTAAATAAATCTAAGAATTTATAAAAAGTTATCCACCTTATTTTCTAAACGTATAGTTATAGAAAATTAGATATAGAGAATGAAAAGATAAAATTAATCCTTGTTTATAAAATTAATTAATTGTCGCTACAAGCTGATTTATTCATATAAATTATTATAAATCCACTGGCAGAAATAATTAATTAATTTAATATACAAGCATACATTTTATATTATTTATTTTATAATAAATTATAATAAATCAGCTTCTAGCAACAATTAATTAATTTTATAAACAAGGATTAATTTTATCTTTTCATTCTTTATATCTATTTTTTATATTAATACATAATTAGAAAATAAAGCTGATAAGTTTTTACTATGGACATACAAAATGTATGTTTATTTGTTACAAAATTAATTTTTTAAACTTTGTCAAGCTGTGATAAGTTGCATAACATTTGTTATTATAAGAGAATATAATACGAAATATTAATTAATAAAAGTGAAATTGTAACGAATAGTTGCATTAAGTATTATAACAAGGAGACAAATATAAATATTCGTTATTAATCAACAATAATAAGTATCAGCTTATATGTGAAGTAATATATATTTAATATATTTTCTCAAAAAGTTACAAATCAATAATACAGAATATCTACTCCGTATCACGTTAAAAGACAATGGTATTTTCATTTAAGCATGTACCGAGTCGTCGAGAGACGGCCCGCAAATCTAAAAAAAACCCATAGTAGAAGAAAAACGTTAATTTAATAATCCGTTTTTGAGGCTGCCAATTTTCAAAAATAAAACATCCGTAAATCCCAGAGTTTGAGAGGAAGGATCGAGAGCCAAGACAAACGCTCGATACGAAAAACCATACATGTATCCAGCGTTATTTGGCGCGCGCGCGCGCACACGCGCACACGCACATACACTTTTTAAGCAATGCAAAGCATTACCGAGACCTTATCGATATAATATTCGAGTAAGGTGACTATCATTACGGGATACATGCTAACTTGCAGCGCTGAGTGCACGAATCGAGATTGGGAGGAGGATGCATTTTCATGACTCCGGCGCGTATCAAGCACTTCTCATTTTTTGTTTCGCTTGCTCGGCCGTATCTTTTACACTCCCTCCCTGCTTCTCGCCTTTATATCTTTCGTAGAATTTATATGGTAATCTAACTTGAATGCGAATGAAGAATTATACACGAGCCACGGCATTGCCTTCATCGGCAGTTACTTAATCATAAATTAAGGGCCGATGTTGAATATTATTGCCAAGTGTCATCTCGCCGATAATTTTTCGCATAATGCATTAAAGTGCCGCATATTTGCATTATTTCATTAGTGTTGAGTATAACGGTGCAAGGAAGTATTAGGGATTGCTCGGTGAGGCGTGGACCGAAAATTTTTAACGAAGATGGAAACTGATGCGCCCAATGTAGCAACTTGGACGTAATGCAGAAAAACGGCAAATTTTGTCACGTGGTCAGTTGGCGAGAAGCATAAAATAGGATTATTCGCGTAGAAGGCGTTGAGCGCAGCGCGTTGAATAATAAAGGAACAAAACAACGATGAATCAGACATGGCTGAAGAAACTTTGCAACGTCGCCAGTCGACCAGCCGTGAGGGAACTTTAACGAAGAATAGACGTAGGTGCAGGACGCAACGAAGTCAAGGAGAAAAGTACATCGAGTGACGATGAGTCTAGGACGTTCGATGATATCAAGGACGTAGGATGGAATTAGCCCGTAATCCTCTCGTAATCGGGCACTTTGTCCGCGGCCGTCGCGCGCCACCATTACTTTAATAGCAACTCGAGCGCTCCCAATAATTATCCGGTGCCGCATGCAAATGCGCTCAACGGCCTAAAACTCTCACTGCACCTCCGCGAATCTTATTTATTGGATGTTTTTATCGCAAATGCTTGGCGGTGATTAAGCGTAATAAAATTTCTCACAGTTGGGACGACCTGGAAAATACTCGGCGACGTTTAATCGCCACGTGTCGTATATTTATACTCGAGCGATAAACTAAGTCATATTTGCAACGAGTTTGCGCAAATTTGCTAATTTTTCTACTTACGTACAACGAATATATTTGATCGAATTTCATTTGACCATGGTTTTTCTGAATTTTTCCGGGCATGAGCAATACAATTTCAAGTGACGGTGAGGAATGGGAGAAAAAAAAAATGTTAATAGTTTATAATTATTAAGTACGTGAATAGGCCATTCGAGACGATAGAAATGCGTTTGAAAAATTTGTTAATAGCCTTTTCTAATTGGATAACGATTGCTGGTAACTTTTCAGTTGATATGATAGACAAGAAGTAAAAAATTGTCGAAGCAAAAATAGATGGATAAATACAGATAAAATGAGCTAAAAAAAGAATCGATTGTAATAATAAAAAAATAATTGAAATATCAATATACAATAGATGGAGAAAGAGAAGAGATAAGTTTTTTTTTTTTTTTTTTTTTTTTACACTATTACAGTAACGAGCGAATTAAGGGAGAAGGAATAACGACATTTGTTTAATTAGATTTTAAAGTAAACGAAATGATTGAAGAATAAGAATGAAGAATTTTGTGTCGACTAAGAATGTACAAGACTTTGAAGTTGTAAGGGCTAACTTATATTTGGAAATTTTGTAATAAGAAAGATTGTATCAGGAAAGAAAAGGAAACGGAAAGTTGACAAATGTACTTAAAACAACTACTAAACATATATGTGGGAGAAAGTGAGAATTTGATTAATAGAAGTAACGAAATAAATTATAATAAAAATAATAAAAACCGATAAAAGGTATATGTCATCATTTAATAAAATGTATTTATACATGTAATTTTAATATTTAATAGCGCGCGCGCGCGCGCACGCACACACACACACACACACACACACACACACACACACATATATACACACAGAGAGATATTAAT